GATTATGTTAATTTCCCAATTTAATAATGAAGACCAAGACCCTGATTTCCATGAAAGGCCTTGACACATGTCAGTGACATACCAGGGATACATTTTTTAAGGAATATATTAGTCAATACTACAATGGATTTATTTCACTGTGCTAAAATATTAACATAATTAGACTTTCCGTGTCATCTTTAAAATATTAAATTATTTTAAGTCAGATTGAAAAATATTTTAAATCAAATTTTGAAAATACTATAGGCAAAACAACATCACCAAACAGAATTTATAAAACTTTGGTGCATGGCTTCAGGTACCTGATTTTCTGTGGAACTCATACCACATTTTCTTATTATTTACAAAACTGGATATACTACTTTAATAAGAAGTTGATCAGACTAAAATATTTGAAGAATTATACCATGGATTGATCCTCATAATCTAACATGGAAATGACTTTAATGAATACCTACTATGCTGTGTAGGTATAACTGTACACATTTTCCACCCCAACACCCCCCTCCACACACACACTCCAACCTTTTTCCTTCTTTTAAAACAAGAAAAGAAAACCAGAACGTATTCATCCAGACCTCCTCCCAAAGCCTTATCTTCCAGTAGAAGCTGACCCATCGCCCAGGTCCAGGACCCTGCAATGTTGGTTGGACAAACAATCAGTACATGCATGTGTCTGGAGGTTGTTATTGGCCCAGGGTTGGGAAAGGGAGACCAACGCTGGCTCGATCAACCTGACGGGAAGGATGCATACTGCACGAGAGAACAGGTTCCCTTGTAAGGAGCATATACAAGGAAGCACACAACCCTGACTGCCCTGCAGCCACCTCTGACCACAAGGGAAATCAGCCTTAGACCGAGCTGATGCTGTGAGTGGCCAGAAATGGAAAGATCACCAAGTCCCCCATAATATGCTATTGCATTTCTGAATTTCTCATTATGTGAAATATTGCCTTAAATAATGTATTGTTTAAGCAGGTAGAGTTCGCTTTTGAGTATCAGATAATACTTGGAGCTGAAGGCTTCTCAACTGGTAAGATAATTTGATGCTTGAAAGTGGGATGCTGCTAATTAAAGAATCTTAAAGATTTCATTTTACAAACAGAAAACTAAAGCTCAAAGAGGTTAAATATACACAATAAGGTCAAGCAACTAAAACTATAGTATAATTATTCAATGGAGTATTATACAGCAGTGAAAATAAATAAACTATAGCCATGTTCTACAGTAACGATATATCTCAGGAACATGATGTTGAGTGAAAAAGAATGAAGAATACATTCTACATGTTCCATTTATTTTAAGTCCAAAACAAGCAAATCAAAACCATGTACTGTGTGGGGTACAAACATACGTTATAAATTTATAAAGAAAGGCCAGGGACTGATCATCGGATAAGGCTGCCAGTGCGAGTAACAGGAGGAAGTAGGGGGAGTAGGGGAGGAATACACAGCACACAGGAGACTCCAAAGGCAATGGCTGTTTCTTAAAATACATGCTGGGCACATACCAGTTATAATCATATTTAATAACTTTTATGTTTGTTATAAGATATTCTTTGGTATATACTTAACATTTAATAAAAGATCACAGAAAACATACACTAGTCCTATCCCTTTTCATTTGTCACTCCACATGCACAACAGTGAACATAATATTTTCTTCTTAGTGAGAAAAATTAAATAATGACAAAGTAATTTTTAAAGAATTAGTTTTAAAACTATGAAAATAATAAAAAATATTTTCAATCAAACTTCTTAAATTATCTTAAGCTTACACATAACTGTATTTTCCATGTCTCATTAAACTATAGCTAATCCAAATGTTGTCAAAAACATACAGAAAATCCCAAAGTCACTTTGAAACAAACCTCTCATTCTTCATAAGGTATTATTATCTGATGCCTGGCCTAGCATCTTCAACTACACACTGCAACCATGTAAATGTCTGTCTGTATACTTCCTTTCACTGAGCAACAGTCATTTTTCCTGAACCAAGGGGTCAACATGGGCAAAGGCAAAAAAGCCAGACAAGGCCTGGCCTGAAATTCAGGCTGAGATGGAATATGGGAGAAGATGGTGAAGAGGTGAGTAAAATTCAACTGCAGAATACCTTCCAGCTTAGGGCAGAAAACTGGTGATGTGACAGCACATACATAACACACACTCTCCTGAGTAATACCTCACATGACCACAAAGATCATCAGTGAAGGGTTAGGGTTAGGCCTCCACAAGTATGGGAGAGATGTCAGTGATGGGGGGAGGTGTAATCTTTGAAATCTTTTGCCCTACCCAACACTACAACCTTGCTGATCACTGCATCAGATTTTAAGATTGATTGACATTTACAATACTGTGGAAGATACATAGAGGGACAAGACTGGATACAGGAAGATTTCTTAGGCAGTTATTGAACTAGTCCAGGAAGGGGCTTGCAGTTGAAAAGGAGAGGGAACTTTGAGGGAGAAAAAAACCTCAAGAAATAAAATATTGTTGGGTTTGGTTGTGTGAGATGAGCAAGAAGAAAAAGTCCTCCTCACTATTAGATAACATAGGCATATGTAGCATGAGAGAGAGTGAAGGAGAGGAAATGAGGAAGAGCTTGGAAGGTTTGGTGCTACTTTTTTCCAAACTAAATCCTTGGCCTTTCAGTGTCTGCTGGTGTCATTAAGTGAAAACTGCTTGATAACATGTTCTGAGAGGCAATACAGCATAAGGGAAGATATGGAAACTTTGCAATGAGGCAAAACTGAGTTCAAATTCCAGTTTTGTAACTTACTATGTGATCTCGGGGGAAGGTAAGAAGACAGCAACAAAGGGGAGATTTCTATGTCTGCTCTTACTGTACCTCCTTCTTCCTTATTCAGATCCACTAGACTTTTAAAAAATATATTTATTTATTTCAGAGAGGAAGGGAGAGATGGAAACATCAATGATGAGAGGGAATCATTGATCGGCCGCCTCCTGCACGCCCCCCACTGGGGACCGGGCATGTGCCCTTGACAGGAATCGAACCCAGGACCCTTCAGTCCTCAGGTCAACGCTCTATCCACTGAGCCAAACCGGCTAGGGCCAGATCCACTAGCCCAGTGATGGCGAACCTATGACATGCGTGTCAGAGCTGACACGCGAACTCATTTTTTGGTTGATTTTTCTTTATTAAATGGCATTTAAATATATAAAATAAATATCAAAAATATAAATCTTTGTTTTACTATGATTGCAAATAACAAAAAATTTCTATATGTGACACGGCACCAGAGTTAAGTTAGGGTTTTTCAAAATGCTGACACACCGAGTTCAAAAGGTTCGCCATCACTGCACTAGCCTTTACATCAAGGCTTATTTACCTCACACACTCAGACGATCAGACTTTTTGGAAATGTGATGTTATAGAATCCTAAAATTATAAAATGTTAGGAGCAGAAAGATGAAGAAACTGACTTTAAGGAGTTCTGTAGTTGGCCCCATGTCAGTCTTCTAGTTCATTCAGTGGCAAAACAAATAGGTTTTTGAATTCCCAGCCCAGATTTCCCCCCCTGTATGCCATAATTTAAACCCAAAAAAACAATATAATTAAATAATTAATGGGGACTTACACTTTATCATTTGTCATCAAAAGCAAATTTCCATGAAATCCTGTAACAAACTCAGTTTTCCAAGTATGCAATTAATTCAGCATTCAGTATGAAATACTACTGAATTTTATCATTCTTTTGTTAAAAAGATTAATATTAAATCTGATGGGTGGGAATAAGAGTAGTCCCTGACCACTCACACAGGCATAAGTGACTAAGTTAGACACGGTCATATTAGAGTCCTGAGCAATAACATAACCTTTCTATTCTCTCTTTGTGGCCATGGAAAGAAACTTCATTTCGTTGACCTCTTTCTTAGAAAGTTTCCTTTTTTATTTTTAACCCTCACCAGAGGATATTTTTTTCCATTGCTTTTCAGAGAGACTGGAAGGGAGGGAGTAAAGGAGGGAAGAGGAGGAAGATAGAAACAATGACGTGAGAGACACATAGATCAGTTGCTTCCTGCACATACCCTGGTGGGGAGGAGAGGGGGTGAACCCGCAATTCAGCTATGTTCCCTTGCTGGGAATCAAAACTATCACCCTTTGGTGCTCGGGCCAATGCTCCAACCACTGAGCCAGGGCAGAAAGTTTCTATTTTTAAGGCTTTTCCAGAGAATGGATGAATAAACAAGGAATGGACAAACACAATGGATAATTATTCCAAGCCTTTGTAGAGGCAGCAATGTAGACTAGATTAACAGAACAGGCACAGAAGCCAGACTGTCTGGGTTCAAATAGCAGCTACATGAATTATTAAATGTATGACCTTGGCCAAGTTCCTCAGCCTCTAGCTCCTCTGTTTCCTAATATGTAAAGTGGAGAAGGTAACAACCCATAAATCCTGGAGTTGTGAAGATGAAATGAGGTTAGAGTCCTGGCATGAGGTAAACCCAAATGATAAGCATGCTATTATATTATAACCCTGTATTGCAGAGTTAATGGAAATGTTTGTTCCTGGGCACAGTACTGTAAGCTAAGAGCAGCTGAAACGCTGAAAAAGTTCAGCTGATAGGAAAGAGCCAAGAGCTCCCAAGAAAATCTGCTTCAGCCAAAAGCCAACCTAAGAGAAATGACACTGGCTTTAATTTTATGAGTTACAAAGACCTTTTCTCTTAGTTCCTTTTCTCATTCAAGAAATAGAAGGAGCTGACACAGCAGGACAGATGGGAGAGAACCCAGGATGAAATGCAAGAAAGCGTAGAGCTACAATAAAAATGCTTTAAAAGTTCTTCAATCCTTAATTAGTGAGTGCTACCATTCATGAGGAATTTTTTAAGGGCCTCAAAGCTATTAAAATGGTAATTAGGTCCCAAGAAAACAAGAACCAATTCAATTACGTGCTGGATGCTTTTAAAATTTAAAGCCTTCTATTAAGAGGGCTTTAAATGAAGCATAGTTATAATTACAGGTCCTCGACCAACCTTAAAGCCAAAGTGTAGGTTCCTGGCTGGCGCTGGCTCTCCCGGATGAGGTAGCTCCCCTCAGCCACACTCAGGAGCTGGTCGGCCGCTTCCCGGGAGATCCTGCCGTGGAACCTGAGAAACAAAGTCAATTCAGAAACTGCATGTCTTCCACCTTTCTCAATGAAACAAGACAAAACAAAACCCCCACCTTGCCCTGTTGTTTTCTAGACCAAGTACTGCCATAAAATCAAAGGGGATTATAAACTCAACCGAGTTTAACTATGCTTGTGTTTCCCTGGGCCTGGCCCCTGGCCAGCTTCTCTGTGGTGATAAAAACAGAACCAAAGTCGCTACCCAATCCATTTAACAATCAAAAAATCAAAATCCACATCCATCGAAAGGAAGACCAACCACCTCTCTTGAGAAAACATGCCCTTCTTATGTAGCCGGTCTGACCATATGGACGTGATGAAAAATATACAGAAATGTGTCCCATTTCCTTTCTTCAAACTAATAACATTTCTCGAAATTTTGGCTCAGAGTCTATGTTGGCAATTTTCCAGGACCCTGGGTTGCCCTTAATTGGCATGATTGTCCAATAATGTGCATAATCTGCATCACTGGTTCTCAAGCCAAAAGCAATGAACTGTAATACTTGCTTTCACTCCCTGCTAAAACCTATTTTTGATTAACAGAGAAAAAAGGAGGAAGAAGAATAAACACACTCTTCACACAAACACAGATTCATCTGTAACACTCAGAGCTAAAACACTGAAGAAGAAAAATATGCCAGTGGTGACTGATGATTAATATTAAAAATATAAAATCACCTTACATTCGTATGGGATTTACAAATTACAAAGAACATACATTATGTCCTTTTAGTAACTCAAAATAATAGAACTGAGTTAGTGCTGCACTAAAACTTTGCAGCTTTTACTAGTAAAACAAAACAACAATTTCTTGATTTTGGAATTTGTAATAATTTATTTTAACTAGTGTCCCTCAGCCCAGCCTGCACCCTCTCCAATCGGGGACCCCTTGGGGGATATCCCACAAGGATTGGGCCTAAACCGACAGTTGGCAGAGAGGTTAGGGGCAATGAGGCAGGCAAGCAGAGGCAGTTAGGGGCGATCAGGCAGGTGAACGGTTAGGAGCCAGCAGTCCCAGATTGCAAGAGGGATGTCTGACTGCCTGATTTATAACATTTTTCATAAAATAGAAAAATGTTCATTATTAATATTAAATGAAAAAATCAGGCTGCCAGAACCGGTTTGGCTCAGTGGATAGAGCGTCGGCCTGCGGACTGAAAGGTCCCAGGTTCGATTCCGGTCAAGGGCATGTACCTGGGTTGTGGGCACATCCCCAGTAGGAGGTGTGCAGGAGGCAGCTGGTCGATGTTCCTCTCTCATCGATGTTTCTAACTCTCTATCTCTCTCCCTTCCTCTCTGTAAAAAATCAATAAAATATATTTAAAAAAAATAAAAAAATAAACTTACTGTTTAAAAAAAAAAAATCAGGCTACAAAAATTGTAAGTATATCTCCATTTTGTAAAATCAATTAGAAAAATAGATCTTTAGAAGGTAATACTTCAAACTGCCAACAGTTATTTCTAGGTGGCATATATTTACTTATAGAAATTTTAGAAGAAAATTAAAAAATAAAGAAAAGTATAAATATAGACTAAACAACCCATATCCCAACACACACATGTATGTATATATCTATATGCTTAATATATACATGTACACACAAATATAAATGTTTCCCTCATATACATCTAGAACTATTTATTTACTTACATGGCTTTATTTTAACATTCTTGCATACATTTCCCCATGCTACTTTCTTCACCAATTAGAATAATTACATTTATAATCAGAAAAATAATTTCACTCATCCAAACTTGAATACCTCCTTCATTTTTACTAAAAGCACCCATTTAACCATCTCTTACATATTCCAATCTATAAAATGTTTTCTGATAATCCATACTTACTCTCTTCCATAATACTTTGGTCTGTTTTCTACCTATTGGAAAAATAAAAAAGAAAGATATTTGTGATAATGCAAATGTTCAAAACATTACTCAACATTTTGTGTAAGTGACAAATTAAAGCAAATATTAAGCAAAAGAAAAATCAGAGTCTGGAGTTCCAGTTCTACCAGCAGACTAACTGACCCTCAGGCCTGTTCCTTATCTATAAAACACTTTGTATGTAAAAAGAGTTGAACTAAATTATCTTTTATTTCTAGGACTTTAAAAATCTGAAAAAATATTTACATCACTTTATGCAAAAAGTAAAATAAAACATCTAAGACCTTAATGCCACAATATGTCAGAAGAGACTGTGACTTTCCTTCCTGGTTACTCCACATTCCCCCTGCTGTTAACATCTCGACATAATCTTGCCCCTTTGTTCTCCCACTGGGGCCATAACCTCACCAGCTAATCTCCCCTAGCTTTTCATGGCAGTTTGTGCTGGCTATGAGACAGAGAAAGGCCCAGCAGAAAAGATCCTAAGGAATTTGTACCCGGGTAGACTAAAAGAGAGTATTTGCCTGGTTCATTTAAGAAATGTCTGGAAGCGTAGGTTCATTTACTGTATGTTCAGTTCTGATCATTTTACCATTTTTATTTAAATCTGTTGTTTGAATATGTGAAACATTTGCATAGTTCAAAAGTCACAACTATATAAAAACATGTCCTCAGAGAAGTCTCACTCCCATCCGTACACCCTCAACACTGCTCCTCAGCCACTCCTTATGGATAAACATTTTACCAATCTCTTGCTAATCCTTTCTGTGTTTCTCTTTTGCAAAAATAACCTTTATTTTTTTCTTTTCTTTTATTGATTTCAGAGAGGAAGAGAGAGGGAGATATAGAAACTAGAGTGATGAGAGAGAATCACTGATTGGCTGCCTCCTGCATGCCCCTTTGGAGATCAAGCCTGCTACCCAGGCATATGCTCTGACTGGGAATTGAACCGTGACCTCCTGTTTCATAGGTTGATGCACAACCATTGAGCAACACAGGCAGAGTTATTTTCTTTTCTTTATTACTATAAAGGGACCATACTTACTATACTGTATATGCATTTTATATCATTTCATATCATCTCATAGAAATCTTCCTTATAGACATTTAGCATTTTTTTCTAATACTCTACTACAAACAGTCCTACACTAAAAACTTTAGCAGTATGTTATTCCATATTTGTATAGGTAATTCATCAGGGTAAATCCCTATAACTTGGATTAGTGGGTCAAAGGTTAAGTGAAGTTTATTTTGTTAGACATTACAAAATTCTCATAGAATTGTAGCATGGCACATTCCCATCAGCAATATATAAGTGTCTGTGTCCTTATATGCATACCAACCAAGTATACTCTAAGCCAGCGGTTCTCAACCTGTGGGTCGCGACCCCTTTGGCGGTCGAACGACCCTTTCACAGGGGTCGCCTAAGATCATCCTGCATATCAGATATTTACATTATGATTCATAACAGTAGCAACATGACAGTTATGAAGTAGCAACGAAAATAATTTTATGGTTGGGTCACAACAAGAGGAACTGTATTTAAAGGGCCAGAAGGTTGAGAACCACTGCTCTAAGCTTTTGAACTTCTGCTATTCTGAAAGGCGACAATGGTCTATGTATTTTAATTTGCATTTCTATTATTAATGAAATTGAACATCTTTTCCTATATATTGTCATATGTCCTGTTTTTTGTGTGAACTATGTCTTTGCTTATTTTTTACATCATGACTTACATCTTTTTAATGGAAAAATTAATAATACTTCCATAATGCCTTCAAACTGTTTTAAAAGCAAAAATAAAACAAAAAGTGGAAGAAGAATGTATGAACAAAAAAGATTAACATCACTTAAAACTATACTGTCATATGCTATACTGTGTTCCCAGACCATCCCTTAAACAGTGACAGTTATTTCAAGTGAAAAGTATGTTAAGAAAAATGCATTCAAGTTGCAATGCTATGGTGCCAACTACTGTAAATGGTTAATCCCACAAATAACCAAGCCAATGAAGAAGGTCAAAGTCTGGGAAACAAATAAATGAAAAACATTTCATTGTAACAGTTTCATTACACCCACCTCATTAGTACAGGTAATTCTTCTAGGATGGGGAGCTTCCTGTTGCAGCTGGTACACTACAAGAAAGAAAGTGAAAGATGTCATTTCTCTTATGGAGAACTTCTGAATATTTTAGGAATCACAAACTGTCTGCTTTTTATGTTCACAAGTAAACTGTGGTGCAGTCCTACTTTTTACGAACAAAGCAAATAAAGTAAACCTGACTAAATTTAGGGAAAGCTCAGGAACAAACACAAATAGAAAACACAAAATTGTCTTTCTGCCTTGTAACAAATCAGTACTGGATATCTGGGTCTGTTCCCCATAATCTGAGTCATTTATTTCCCCCTTTTTTTTTATTTTTATTTTTTGGTGTGTGTGGCTGCATTACTTAAAGCTTTTCTCTGATACAAACCAATAATGGTTATGTATTTTTAAGTACATTATTAAATATCAAACTTGAAACTAAAACTAGAATTTAAAGGCTAGATATGCCATTTTTCTCTCCTATTTTTATGCAAACCTCTCTCTTCAAATATAATCTCCCATATTTTTAGAAATTTTTTTATAATCTCCCTTTAAACAAATTTCTGAGCCAAAGTTACTGCCACTTATTTAATTTGGGCAAATGAAGCAAATAAATAAATAAATAAATTGGGCCCTGAAATAATTTGCCAAAGAGAGAATAATTTTTAGAGTATTTAAAAATGGATCAGTGAAAATTATACCAATACCATGATCTAGGCTTTTTTAATTCGAAATAACAAAAAAAAGAATGAATAGAATGTGTGGTTATTAGAGAACATGTGTTATGTATGTTTAAATTTATCGCTTGGAAGGAATTTATTTTCGATTTCAACATATATAATCACATTCAATTGAATTTAAGTTAATGTTGTATTTAAATACATACAGATTTTGTCACCATAACATTACACTACCCAGACATCTGGTATTGTCAGATAATAAAGACTCAGATTTCAATTACATGTCATTATATAGGCTTCACCTCTGATTGAATTGATTCATATACAGAAACATATATAAGTATATACAATTAGACTATATATACACACGCATATAATTAGACTACATGTATGTATGTGTGTATATTACATACAATATATATACTGAGAACAGACACATACCACTGTCCTGTATTGCTATGTGAAGGCGATATAACATTGTGTCTAAGAATGTGAACTCCTGGACCAGGCCATCTGGGGGTTGTCTGAACACTGGGCTCTGCCACTAACACTGCATACTGTGCTTCAGTTTTCCTCATTTGTACAAAGGGATAAAAATAGTTTCTACTTCACAGAATACTGAATACTGAAAGGATTAAATAACTTACTATAAGTTAGACAAAACAGTCCTTGGCACAAAGTAAACACTCAACAAAGATTAGTTATGACTGTATGTAGGTGACTGACAGTAATACCAAAACTTCTTTGGAGTACTATTTGATCACCAGAATGCATCTTGAGTTCATCACCCAAACAGACCACGGTAATTCTATCACTGAAAAGGCACAGAGAAGATACAGCTTTACTGTTTAAAAATCAAAACATAAACAAAGCCCTTCCTCATTAGTAATGACTGAAATTCTACTCATAGAAATGTATTCTTGTGCCTTTTCTTCCTGGTTGCAAAAATCCCTAAGAAAGACAGCACTTTAAAACAGTTTGGGATGCCCGTATTTTACTGTGTGAGTTCGTTCTTCAAAAATACTCCTGTGAATAAATTTTTATGGGTTAAAAAGATGATATGAAGGGAGGAATTCTGAGGTGGGGAAGGGAAGAAAGAGCACTGAAGCCAAATCTGTCTGGCCCTGATAGAAGTGTACATATGTATAACCCGGATATTTCTAACTCGCCATCCTCCTGAGAGAAGCCAAAACATGATTGGCCAAAGAGGGAGGGCTCTTCAGGCCCATTCCTCCATATTGGTTAACTATAACTCTTAGATGTGAAAATTCAGTTCACAGTTCTGTTTTGATCAGTAATTCTCAAAAGATCAGTTGTTTTCCTTTGTAAAAAAAAAATGCTTTGGAAAGTACTGCCACTTATGAAAACTCAATTATGAGACTTGAACAGTAGTCAAGAAGGACAAAGTAAAGCATTGATTTTAACTCAACAAACAAATACTGTAGTATCTGGTTATCACTGGTAATATTTACCTATTCAGTAACCAAGCATTAACATAAGCCAGTATGAAAAAAAAGGAGTGACAATATTGTCACGTTAGAATTTCAACCTTTACTTTTATTAGTTTTAAAGGGTATAGTTCCATTCATGGAGAAAAGCAAGTTTTAGACAAATACCTCCTCATTTGCTACCTATGGTTCTATCCTTAAGACTCGTTTTAAATAAATATGTTATTTATTTGGACACTGTATAACTGAATATAACATGAATTCAGGAGACACGTATCAAAAGAACCACTTAAAAACTGTACACAGTAATAAAGACTAATTCAGGCCCTTTTAAATTTAAAATTTTGGGGTAATTTAAACTGGAATCAGCTGAAATTTAAATTGTATAATCATTAACTGATTCACCAAAACTTAATAGCTAAATTATTAAGTGAGGAGATACATGATTAAAGTACTTAACATTTTTCAATCACCTTAGAACTTCAATGCTTAAATACTTATTAGTGAATTTCTCAATACCTAGAAGCAATACATTTTTAATCAAGTTCCAAGATCACAAGTTGGTAACTTGAAGTCAAAATCAGCTCACATGCGTCTGGTTTAAATTTATTTTTAACACTTAAAAATTAAGAGTTTTAACTCCAACAACAAAGCAAAAGAGAATTCCAGCTTCTCTTTAGAGTTTTGGGTGAATGACCACAGTAAAGGAACGCTAACAATGGGCCTCTCGCTACAGACAGGCCATTCATGCTCTCCTTTCTCACAGTCCCCACTTGGCTCGCTTGCCCCATTTTTTGCATGTTAGGTTCCTGGTTTAATTCAAGCAATACCTATCAATAAGCAATAAAACTGTATTTTTTTTAAGAAGAATCATCAACTTAGACTTCTTGCTAATTCTATTTTCCCATTGGTTTTTATTTGTAAGGCTTTAAAATTACATTTTCACAAGCTTAACTAAACCACACTGGGAAGTGGAATAGGCATAGGTAAAATAAGTTTCTTACAAAATCACAGTAAAAATGTTTCTTAGAGAATCTCACTGTGAAAAGCTATACAAATCCCATCGTGCTAAAGACAGAAAGTAAAAAAAAAACAAAAAAACAACAAGTTGCAACTTCTGACATTAAGATTTAACTGAACCCTTTGGTTTTACAAATGTAATACAGACTAGAACTTAACAACCAGAACACTTTGAATAGTTTCTGTTTTACTAACATTGACTGACATAACTCATTTTTTAAAAATCTAATCCATTTAGATTTTATTAACATTTTGAGAATTTTTTTAATTACAAAAATTTAATTCACATCACAAATGATGAATGCATTATGGTTTGTCAGTGCCGAATACTGTCGTGGAATTTATTGTCAATTATCAACTCTAACCAAGATAGATAGATAGATAGATAAATATAAATATAAATATAAATATAAATATAAATATATAAATATATATAGGTCTGACCTATTTTTAAAATGGGCTTTTCCACTTGGCTTTAACACGGTTTAATCATAACATTTCCTTGAAGTGGAACGAAGTTTTTTCATTTGATGGCCAGGAGATAAAGTCTACTCTAATAATTTCTTCCCTTTTTCTACTATTAAAATGATGGAGGGGGAAGCCCAGGCATTGAAGTCACTAAAAAAAACCTGTAAAATTCAGTAGCAGTATTCTTACCCCCCCAAAAAGAAATATGCCATTTTTAAAGAAAAACGGTGGCTATGGTAGGACATAAAAAGATAGAAAAAAATACGCAGTGCATATACTACATATAGTAATCAATATTCTTTAGGGGGAACAAAATCACCACCACGATTCAATACCAGTCCGAAGCTACATAAATGCTCTTACATAAAAAAATGTGTAAGGCACAAGTCAAAACAAGGAAACAAAGATAAATTGAAAACCAAAAAATGTAGAAAATAATTTTAAATAGGCTTCTGCCAATGAGATTATGAGACAAAATCTTTAGGAGATTAAAGGACATTAGTCATTTTTATACATTCTACACTCTCCAGAAACCAAAGGCACCAGCAGGGGTAGGAGAAAATGCATGTATGGCAATATTTCAGAAATTGTTCATATTATGCTTACTATAATTAGCCCAAAGTAACAACCTATTAAAATAAAACTCTCCATTGTTCTGGGAATATAAAACCAATAAGAAACTGCATTGCTGCTTCTTCAGTCAGCAAATTTCAGAAATATACCAATATAAAAAGTTAGAATAACTCAACATCGACAAGATATTAATAATCTATTTAAAGGAAAGGTTTCTTAGGCTGCTTATTCAACTCTATTAACAATAAACAAAAGCTTATATTACTGGTTTTTGCAACAGTGCATTCATGAATTTTTTTAAAACTACGTTGATTATATTTAACCTTATTTCTACTTTTTAAAAATAACTTTACTTGATGAAACAGTATTTTCTAGGAAATAAGAGAAAATAAAAGACTAAGAACCTAGCCTTGAAGAAATTTTTATTCTAATACAAAGTTTAAAGAGCAATACAGGCCAAGACCGGTTTGGCTCAGTGGATAGAGCGTCGGCCTGCGGACTGAAGGGTCCCAGGTTCAATTCCGGTCAAGGGCATGTACCTGGGTTGCGGGCACATCCCCAGTAGGAGATGTGCAGGAGGCAGCTGATCGATGTTTCTCTCTCATCGATGTTTCTGACTCTCTATCTCTCTTCCTTCCTCTCTGTGAAAAATCAATAAAATATATTTAAAAAAAAAAGAGCAATACAGAACTCAAATGCCTCTCTTTTATATTGGGGAAGCTAATTTCTAAAAAAAGAAAAAGAAAGACTGCTTTTCTTTTGCCACTTTTTATCCATTCTTTTTGTCAAGATAGCTTCCTGATTTAATATCATTAATAGAGTCCTTCTTCCTCTAAAGAATCAAAATCTGAGAATAAATAATTAAACGGCTTGAATTCTTAGCTAGCTTCTCCTTGCATTAGTTTATCAGCCATTGTCAACAAGCAGTCTCAGGTTCCATGATATGGAATTCTGTGCAGGCTCAGAAGGATGAGATGTGTTCCACGCGTGCAAACCATGTACAGGCTGTAGAAACACTATTTCCCCACAATTACTTCTGCTATTCCAAAATCCTGTTGTGAATTAATTATTCAATAACAGGTACAAAATGGAATGACTTCATATCTAATGATCCTAGTATTTTTATATTACTTATAAAGCACTATAATCCACCCAATTTAAAATTATTAGTATACTTACAGTAAGATTTCCAAACAGGAGGTCTATATTCATCTGTATCTGAAAAGAATAAACATCAAATTAATATTACCAAACATTTATATTTTAAATGAAATATTTTAATCATTAATTAATTTAATATATATTTGTTGAGGCCTATTTGTCCTACACATTCTGCTAGGCATATTCAAAGGTGTTTTTTTTTAGTCTTGGTCCTCATTTTCTTGGAGTACAGTTTCAAAGATGTGCAAAGAAAGTCACTATACTTATTTAACTACTTATCACAAAAATATCAAGATTTTTACTGCTGGCACTTATTTCTTACAGGCAGACAGAAATGTACTTCCATATATCCCCCCACCACATTTGGGGGATTCCAGGATAACTGGTTTTCCTAACATCAGGAGAGAAGAGCAGTCAGGTACAGATCTTAGTCCTCATGCATCCTGAACAATCAAAGCCAGGAAATGAGAAACACTTCCATGGAAGAGAATGTATCCAGGGAGCCACAAAGACCATAAGGTGAACATCTGCTCTTCAAGTCCATTTCCCCTCCCTCTGTTTGAGTACAGATGTAGGAGACCGTGTGAAGAGGCAGTAGAAAGAGATGCAAATACAAATATGTGGGAGAGATGGGGGAATCAGAGAAGGAGAAGGGGAATCGGTTTGGTCTGGCTTCTCATCAGTAAAGCATCACTGAGGAATAATACTGCCGGTCGTAAGTTCTGCCTGCAAGCCCCGTAGCAGCATTTTGGTGTGGGAAGGTGTGGCTCTGCTAGCATCTGACATGAACCCATTAAGAAATTTCATGCTAAAAAATCTGATCTTTAAGAAGGCAAGACAATTCCTAAAAAGTTTCTTGAGAAGTCTGAATCTAGCATATGTAGCTACAGTAAAAATGTTCATAGTCTCAAAACATTCAGCCCCTAACTCCCAATCTTTAAATGCAATCTGACACTTCATGTACGATGTGCAATTATAAACCACACAAATACTTTGAGTCACTGGAATACAGCAAGACTACTAATACTGGGCATAAGAACACAAAAGGGAAAGTTAAGTCATGTAGAAGTTGCTTGGCACCCAGTAGAAGTGTTCAAATATGTATTCTTAGAGAACAAATAAAATATTACTTGAATAAATGAATAAGGAATAAAGTAATGCAGCAAATGCAGTTGACTCTTATTATTCACAGTAGTTATATTCTATAAAGTCACCTCAAGCACTGAATGACTAAATACTGAACCACTGCTCCTAGGAGAAATATAAGGTCAGGTTCCTGCATGCCTCTGGCCATATTTTCATCAACCAAACAATATATTACTTCATATTCTGTGTGTTTCCATTTAAAAAATATATATTTAGTGCCCTAGCCGGTTTGGCTCAGAAGATAGAGCATTGGCCTGAGGACTGAAAGGTCTCAGGTTCAATTCCGGTCAGGGGCACATGCCCAGGTCGAGAGCTCGATCCCCAGAAGGGGGCATGCAAGAGGCAGCCGATCAATGATTCTCTCTCATCACTGATGTTTCTCTCTCTCTCTCTCCCTTCCTCTCTGAAATCAATAAAAAATTAGCCGGTTTGGCTCAGAAGATAGAGCATTGGCCAGAGGACTGAAAGGTCTCAGGTTCAATTCCGGTCAGGGGCACATGCCCAGGTCGCGAGCTCGATCCCCAGAAGGGGGCATGCAAGAGGCAGCTGATCAATGATTCTCTCTCATCACTGATGTTTCTCTCTCTCTCTCTCCCTTCCTCTCTGAAATCAATAAAAAATATGTTTTAAATATATATATATATTTTTTAGTTTATACTGTTAACACTGAACTCACAGCCAACGTTATAACTCATGCCTCAATGAAGCTTATCTAACACATGTGTTTTCTCCATAAGATACATCACAGACAGCACTTTGACACTATGCTTGGGGACCATTTTGAACAGCAAAATCACCAATAAAAAAACCCATAAAGCCCTAACCAGTTTGGCTCAGTGGATAGAGCGTCGGGCTGTGGACTGAAGGGTCCCAGGTTCGATTCCGGTCAAGCGCATGTACCTTGGTTGCGGGCACATACCCAGTAGGGAGTGTACAGGAGGCAGCTGATTGATGATTCTCTCTCATCGATGTTTCTAACTCTCTATCCCTCTTCCTTCCTCTCTGTAAAAAATCAATAAAAATATTTTTTAAAAAACCCATAAAATTCAAAAAATGTTACATTAAATAGACTATGAAGAGGACACTTGTTTACAGTGTAAGAGTTAAAACAAGGAAGGCAGAGGGCCACCTTGTTTGACCTCAGCTGGGAATATGCAGATCATGCAACTCAAATATTTTGCCACTATGCGATCATAGGCAAATGAACATGAAAGTGTCACAGGTGTTTATCTAAGAATTACAAATAAAAGCTAGCAAATTTGCAAATACAGAAGCATGAATAATGAGGATTAACTACATATAAAAGAGCAATTATTTAAGAAAACTGCCACCTCAGGTAAATCTGCTTAGTAATGACCTAAAGTTAGGATGAAATATGGCCTTAATGCAGAGTGTGTCTGTGTGTGTGTGTGTGTGTGTGTGTGTGTGTGTGTGTGTGTGTGTGAAGAATCACAACACAGGCGAGCTCTAAATTGCATTCTCAGTTTAATTATATTGAGATTTGTCTTAAGTAAATTTTAATAAAGTCAATTATATATTTTTAATACTAAAAAATTGTATGTGAGCATTCAAGTCATTTTACGATTTCACTCGTGACATGAATGCTATCCTAAACTGGTTCAGGGATTAACAGAATGCACATTCACTCCCTTGGCAATTGTCCATATTCCATGTGCGTCTCAGCTTCCTTTCCAGGGTCCAAACAGTATAAGCTGCAGTGACCAGACACCTCCTAACCCACCATGTAGAAGACACCAAGCGTGGCCAGGAATGGGAAGGGCACTCGACCAGGCTGTGGCTGGAGTAAAGAATTTCACCTTACCCCAAGAAGTCTGGTTTTACCCTCAGCTCCTAAGAGGTAATTTTATTTGCCTGTGGGCCTCAGGCTAGCCAGAGAGCAACCAGTGGGGCTTTGTATCACATGGTATCAGTCGACTTGGGCAATCAACCAACCATGAATACATAATAAAGTCCCAATAAAAACTCTGAACTCAAGGCTTGGGAGAGCTTCTATGGTTTGAAATACTCCATGTGTACAATTCTATAACACATCATCTGAATACTGCCTTGTGTGCTCACCACCCCAAGTCTCCTTCCATCACCATTTATCTCCCCTTTACCTTCTCCTACCTCCCCCCACAGCCCTTTCCCTCTGATAATCACCATACTATTGTTTGTCTATAAGGATTTTTTTGCTTAATCCCTTCATAGTTTTCACCCTGAAACTTATATAAATTTATTAATCAATGTTACCCCCAATAAATTTAATTTTAAAAAGATAAAATACTCCATGAGTATTGTCACACATCCGTGTGGTCAGAATATGCACCTGACTTCATGGAGAAAGAACAAGGAAGGCTTCAAGTTTTGTACTTCTCCTGGACCCTGCCTTACATGCTTCTTCCTTTGGCTGGTCTCAGTCTGCATCCTTTCCCTGTAATAAATCATGACTGTCAGTGTAATAGTGTTTAGTGAATTCTGTGAGTTCTTTTAGCAAATTATCAAAACTGAGGCTGCTTTGGGGGAAACCCCTCCAATTTGCAGTTGCTGTCAGAAGTGAGGGAAGTCTTGGGACTGGCCCTCTAACTCTGTAGTTGGCCCTAACTCCTTGCAAACTCTGTGCAAACCCTGTTCCTATGAGCACTGAGGGCCTCCTGCAGATCGCTTTGACTTTGGCGAAGGTGAGTGAGAAAGACATAGTCCTGTCTCTGGGGAATTACGTATCTAGTCCTAGACAGGGTTTTCTTAGAGGAACACGAACCTTTCTTTATAAAATGTAATAGAAATTTCTAAAATGGGAACAGGAGCAACACAGATTTGTTGTGATGGTTAAATTATGTATCTTCTATATTTTTCTTATATATCTATGCAGGTTTTAAAAATTATACAATGAATATATTATATTTGTGCTAAGGAGAAAAAACTTTTAAAAACAAAAGGTGGCCCTAGCCGGCTTGGCTGGTGTACATCAAGCAGGTCAAACTCACGGCCTGCGGGCCACATGCCTCGTTTATTTGGCCTGTGTTAGCCTTTGAGTTTGACATGCTTGGTGTATATTAACTATGTATAAGAGGAAAACATGACAAATCTCACTTAACAAACCCCACAGGAAGTTATAGTTATTCTGACTAGCTCTTAAAGTGAATAGACTACCAGAGAAATCGTATTTCCAGCCTGAGGGCTTAGACATCAACTACAACTTTGTGGCAAATGTACACATCATAAAGTACCATCTTTTTCCAAAGCAAGCAGGTCAAACTCGCGGCCCATGGGCCACATGCCTCATTTATTTGGCCCGTGTTAGCCTTTGAGTTTGACATGCTTGTTCTAAAGTCTTTGAATTCCCTCTTCACTTACCTCTTCTCCCTATTCTAACCGAATCTGCTGAATGGCAAGCATTCATTATGGAAAAGAGAACAGTTTCTTAAATTTTCTCTCACTTTTGGTTAACTGCTAAAATTGTGAGTCAAAGGAATCTTACTTTAACCTATTTTGTTTTTATAAAAAATGATTCCAATTTTTCTTGCTTTTATAAACCCAAAGTTACAGATCTTAAGCAAGATTTGGTGTTAAAGTTTTTGCCTATAATTTCCTTTTGTGCTGCTTTTACGTCTAAATATTAATATTTTCAGGACATTCATTTTTCCTTTAAATATTAAAAATCTCAAGATATGTATCTATACCATTAGGTAATAATTTTAAAAACATTAATAAAACATACCTAGGATAATATCTTTGCTAGTATATGATATAATTTATAATATTAAGACTATTGGGGCGGTACTCAAAGTGTTCAATTATTAACTGACAAGATTAAATGTATGTATAAATATCCTAATGTTCCGAATTTTTAGATTAACTTAAAACATTTTATGCCTGCTCTCTCCAATTAGAACCTGTCTACAACCGGCTTATCTATGGATGTCACTGAAAAT